GATGTAGCTACAGGCAGCTCTGATTCTCCTGCATTTCTTTCAATTTCAAATGAGCTTAGATAGTCCCTGCTTTTGCCCCACAGGAGTGCGTAGAGACCTGCCACCATAATAATAGCTCCAATAGTCCTGTAAAAGTTACCAATGAAGAAGAGTCAAAAGAGTTCATAGATAGAATTCAGCAACGTAGTTATTAAAGGAACGCTTGCTATTTTTTTCAGACAGTGGTTGTTTAAAACTGTACGTTCTATTTGTATTGAGAAAATGCTTTTGATAAAATATAATTTATAATGGAATGTTGTTAAGAAAATAGGAATATTAATTAGCCAAATCTATAGTTGAGATGTGCAGGGGCGGATCAATTTGGCTCAACACTTCGCTACAAAAACATGGGTCAATAGCGACAAAAAAATAGAGAAAAAAAAATTATCGCTAAAGATGATTAATCATTCAATTTCTACAAAATTGAAATATCGAAATATGCCAGTCGAGTCATGCTATCAAATATCGAAATTCAATTTCTACATTTTTATATCGAAATATGCCAGTCGAGTCATGCTATCAAATTATTTTTTTTTATTTCAATTTCTACAAAATGTATGTTGAAGTTGCCTTGAATTTGGCTCGACCTCTATTTGTTTATATCCTTGGTTCGCTTCGCAGATATGTCGAGGGTTCAAGGGGGTAGTGCGCTCTGGAGGGGTTTGACTTGCCTGATCAGGCCGCGGGGTCAAGGAGCAGCGCCTCCAGAACAATTTTTTTTTTTTTTTGGGGGGGGGGAGGAGGCGCAATTGCCTAAAAACCCTATACAATTACACATCTATACAATGTGTTTAATTATGCTGGGGGCAATTGTCTAAAGATCATAGTATTTTAAAACTTTAGGGGAAACAATTGCCTAAAAATCCTTATAATAAAGACATAAAAATAGATAGAGATGGACAAATTACCTAAAAAATCATATAATAAACCCCCCCCCCCCCAAAAATCAAAAAAAAACCCCCCCCCCCCCTGAGTTTAAGGGGATCCGCCCATGGAGATGTGACTAATGATGTTGGTCATTTATAGGAGTAGAAAATTTTCAAATAATTAAATTACTACACATAATATTTTACTATTATTAAAAGAATTATAGCATCTTATTCATAATTAATTAATGCTTACATTCCTAGAGATAACTTCTCTGCCAGAATGAAGGAGCCCATAATGGCAGTCATAATCATGACAAGAGGGCTAAAAGCACTTGCAAACACTGGACCCCTCTCCTTCATCACTATCCCTTGCACATAATAAGCAACTCCAGTGCATACCACCCCCTGCAAAATTATAAGTATGAGAGCTGCTCTCTTCTAGACATAAAACCTTCACAGATTTCTTCAAGTTCTACACTTATAGCAAGTGCTGTAATTTATATAGAACATTATACAAATCCAAAAGAACTTTCCTCTATGTGAACAACTTTCTACAAATATGAGAAAGGTTTTGCTTACCGTGTATATTGGGGCAAGAAGCCGCTTATCAAAACCTATAATCCATGGCCTGCTACTTGCATGATTTGCCACTAATGCAACTGTAGTACTCATCACCGCACCCATTGAGCAGATCAAAGCAGTAAGGGTAAGTTCAGCTGGATATGATTCCAATGTGTTTGACTGTGTTAATAGAACATACTTAGTTAATCACTTGCAATTAGTGCATGCTTAACTTAACAAATTGGAATTAAAAAAAGGCTTATTTTGATTACTTGTAGGATTAAAAAGGCCGACCAGCTGGTGCTGCTCCCTATAATCATAAATGTGCCTTTCATCCACTTGGAGCTGTCTTTGCCTTGCCCAATGGAGTTAGCAGAGTTGCTTTGTGTCTCTCGAGCTTTGGAGTAAAAGACTAGATCGAAGATGGGGCCTTTGTATAGAATCATTAGAACGGCACCGGCCACTGTCAGGAGGGTTCCTATTACCTTCGCTTGGCCTCTTCTTCTCCTTATGTCGAACTTCTCAGTTCTAATTAATTTTGAAAAAAGCTTAGAAACGAAGTTCAAGTTTATGTACTGTAAAGTATTAAGTTTGGACTATACTATCTATCCATAATTCCATATAGATAATTAGAGAGACAGTGGGATAAATGATGTTAAGTTTTTTGGACAATGAGGTGAAAATTGGTGTGCAAGTTTGATGAAAAGTATAACGAAGTTTGATTTGAGAAATACATAAAACGAACTTATAAGCAGATAATTTTGAACAATCAGATATTCCTCATTTTTATGGGGGATTTACATCCAAAGCAGTCAAAATTATAGCATTTACATATTTAACACCTAAAATTTACTATTACATAATATAGCACTAGGTAGAGCCTATGAAACCCTTAATGATGAAAAGGAAGTTGTGACGGATCTCGCCTAACACAAGGAAGTCTCGACAGATCTTACTAGGAAGGGGCTTCTACCATTATCCCCCTCCTCTGTCAGCAGGAGCTTCCATCAACGAAGAAGAGATAAGGAAGTCGCGAAGAGATCTTGTCGAGAATTGTGACGTCTATGATGCACTGCTTTAGTCATCATCCTTAAATCTTTTAGCCTTATGTGACACCCTCGTTGTATTCTTCACTTATAACTTCTGCCGCCCCTTATTGAAACCCCACTGCTGCATCAATTTACTATCAACAACCTCTCCCTTGTCATAAGTGTGGTGATTGTAGCGTAAAGGGCAAGGAGGGTGTTATGTTTTATGTTACTTAAAATTTTGAGTATTAAGTATATAAATAGTAGTTTATATGTTAAACATATAAATTCTATAATTTTGAGTGCTATGTATTTAAAACCCCTTATTATTAAATGCATGTTGGATATATGCCATTTTTTAAATTTTATCATAAAGTTAATAAAATTGTACTTAATCGAAGAATGTAATATTTTGACATAAAGTAAAATTAAAGGAAAATAACTTCCTATGTGTTTGTCTAAACAAATTAATTTAAGGATTACCTGAGAACAAGGGCCATAAGGTAAGTAATTGCTGGAATTATGTTCTCAAGCGTAGAAGCAAAACTAGCTGAGGTCAACTTAGCTCCCATACAGTAGAAGTTTTGCTCAAGCACTGGCCTATAATTATAAGACAAGAAGCATAATTAGATTTTATTCAATGAAATTTAAGCTAAGAAAGCAAAGGGATGGAACCATTACTCCAAAATTGCAAGTGCCAATATCTTGATGAAGATGATTGGTGTGATCTTAGGTCTCCCTTTCCTGTAATAAAAGAATGAAGTGTCAATACATCATAGTTCAATGTTCAACCTTGATCATTCTGAAACCTTGTTCTGAATATTATTTGCTTTAGACTCGTTTCATGAAACAATTTAAGATTTTTTAGATAAATTGAAGATAAGTTGGAAGAAATGAAATGAAAATTTAGGCCTTCTCCAACTGAACTCCAAACGCGTGAATGGCGTCGCTCGCGAGCTCCAGCCGAACGGCAAAATTTCCGATATTTGGTTGCGGGTGAACAGTGCGATGTCAATATTGACGTTGCATTGTTCACCTGCATTATTTTTTTGTCTCTACCGGATTTGCCGAAGAAACATGCGAAGGAGAAAGACGGTTACCTGGGCACAAAATGGAGTTCGATTGGAGATGAATCATACCATTTTGTTGTTACACTACATTTTGGAGTGAAAAATGAGATTTTCGATTGGAGATGCCCTTAGAACAGGTTGCTTGATTATGAATCTATCACTATTGATTTAAACTTTCCACCATAAATTATTGGAAATTTACTTACCTGCAATCTCCAGTTTGTTTGGAAGAAAAATGAAGCAAATGAAATAAAATTCCAAAAATTTCCGGTTGAATATGATGAATCCATAACTAATCATTTGAACCTTTTTTTTTCCCTTTCACTTTAGCGCTAAGCATCCAAACACACCATAACATTTTATGAGCATATGAACTGACTTATCAAAATCTTATTTCATACAGAATCACTATAATCAGACGGAAGCTTAAATTATTTAATCTTCTTGTAAGGTAAAAGGGAGAAAACCTCTCAAACCAGAGTGCGAAAGGAGCAATGACAGCCGCAGCAACAATATTACGATATACAACGAGCACAAATTGGTTCATCCCATCCTTGAGAGTTGCCACTGAGATTATGAACATACCGGCATAGCTAAACTGTAGCAAAATCATGGCCACATAAGGCTTCATCTTCTGCAAAGCTTTTGGACATCCATCGCCTCCTATGAGCATCTTTGTCTTGGTAGTTTCTTCGCACTTCTTAGCAGTCAATTACAAAGATAGAAGTGCACTTGCTCTCATCTTCCTTAAAAGAGCCTTCAAGCATATATATATACACGTATACTACAAGAGTAAATGCAGCACCAAACTTATTTTGCCTTAGTCATTACTGTTTATTAACAAATTGAGTAAGTGGCAGCTACCTTAACAGGTGTTTGTTCAGCAACATTAATAGGGTAGCTAATGTATTTTTTTTTTTAATTTTTTTGGTGACGAGGAACTGTCCGTTGCCACTCCAAGCTTCGCTGAGCGCGCTTGACGGTTCGTAAACCCTGGCCAACCTACTGGACCACCCACGCCACTGTATCCGCAGCTGCGCTTTGGGGCCCCATCTGAAGGGACGACTGCCTCTCGAGGGAATCAAACTCGGGATGGAGGGTTCTCAACCGACGGTAGCTACTGTATCAATAGACCGAGTTTATAGCATAAGTATAATAAAATAACGAAAGTAGTTATGAATTTAAAAAAATGGAAACAACAACTGCATAAGCAAAATTATGAAGATATAACTGAAATACAAATAGAGCTATTGCTTAAACTTAGTATGGCAATTAAATTCGACTACTTAGTATGGAAAAATGTCCTGTAAACCTTTTGTATTTATATTTTTATAGCAATTTTAAAATCTATTTTAAATGACACTAGCCTATATATTTTAGGGGAAAAAAGAAAGAAAAGTTATTTACCCCAGCTAAAAAATATGCATGTTAGGCATCTCCAACCGAAAAACTCATTTTCCACTCCAAAATGCAACAGAACTTTAAAATGCAGTAATTCATCTCCAATTGAATGGAATTTTTTCTCTTCTTTCACGCGCTTCCTGTGAAGGTAACCATTTTCTCCTCTTTCTCGCACTTCTTCGGCAAACCCGTAGCCTAATTTTTTGGCATGGTGAACAGTCCGACGCCAATATTAGCGTCGAACGGTTCACCTGCGGAACTTTGGCGTGAGATTTGGAGTTCTAATTGACCGAGGGATGGTATGGTGATATGAAGTTTGGTTGGAAATGACCTTAATTCTCTACTGCAGTCTCTTTACCTTGTGATAAACCAGAAAGAAAGCTTTCCGATTCATTTATTCAATGTTAACCAAAAAAAAAAAAAAAAACAGAGAGAAATACATTCTAGATTCCTTCACAGTGCCATATTTTCACAAAATTTTTATATTGCATGTAAATAAATATACAATATTAGCTTTCCCATTCATCATTTGAGAAACCTTACTGCGATTACAAAGTCATATTGTTTTATGGGCATGACATGTAAATAATAAAAAACCATAAAGTGCCATTTATGAACAAATTAATTTTACACTCAAAGTTTATCAAAACAACTCTTTGGACAGTATCTAGCCGTCGAAAACAATACTTTTTTTGAGACATTTAGGTCAATTAAAGTAAATTAATACACACATCATATACGTGAGACTCGAATCCAAGACAACTTAATTGATAACTAAAGCTCTCAACGAACAAATCAAGATGCGTTATTTGTCAAAAACATCACTGGGCATTACTTCAGGATTTGGCAATCTCCAAAGTATGCTTTCTTGGTGGTTCATTAATTTATTGCTTCATTGCATATAATGTTTAGTCAATTCTTTATCTTTCTTTCTTCCTTGGTTTCCAGCTCCTTCACCACCTATTGCCATTTTTCTCCCAAGAAAAGTGAGTGGCCTATTTTATCTGAACAAAAGGTTCATAGGACATTTTGCATATTCCTCAGCATAATGCTGATCCACTAATGGTTTTTTTTGTCGCTGACAATGTAGATCATTATAATCTTCATAATTTTTAAAGGAAAAAAAAATGGAAATCAACACATTTGATTAAGCGTTTGTTTGAGATGGCTGCAAAGTTTTATAAAGTTAATTATGAAGTTGACTTAGAGCAAGTAACTTCGTTACTATGATTGTAGAAAGCAACTTTCCACCACATAAATTTTTAAAAATCAATAAGAAAGTAGTAATCAAACGAAATTATGTTTGTAATCTGAAAAGCAAAGCAGTTTTCTACAAATCAGAAAAAGAACTACTTATTAAAGAATTGGTGGGCTAGAATTATGTTAGAAGGTGAGATTGATGTCTATAAATAATGTTTCATTAGTATTAATTGGAGGGTTGATATGCATCGTCATGCAATCAAGAATGTGAGAGCTGGATGAACAATCATTAAATGTCATCGTAGCAAACTTTGAGATCCTCTATTAAATGATTGGAATTACTTCTTGAACAATTGTTTAAGATCAAATAATTAATAGAAAATGCAGTTCATTCTGACCTTTTGGTTGGGGGCTTAGTCTTCTAATTCTAGGTTTGTGATTTAATAAGCTTAAATTCTAAAAACAATGAAAATAACTAATAATAAAAGAATGTATACCCCTAATAATAATAGCTTATGATTTCCTTGAGCATTGATCATCATTTTTAGCCCTCATTAATGTAGATTTTGAACTGTTTGATCTATACTATAGTATTGAAAATAAATAATATTATATAATTGAAATGAAATATAAAATCAAATCATATAAAAATAATTACCAGTGATATTTCATCAGATCATTTATTCAAAGGATAACCTGACATACCAATAAAGTTTTTAAGATCATCTCTATAAACGGAAAGGGCAGCCAACATAATTCATTTCTTCTAACATTGCCATCCTCACACAAACGCACCCACACAAAGCTAACATAATCAGCAAGCACTAAATGCCGTAAATGAAGCAACCATTTATCCATCAATTATTAAAGCTTATCAAAAGCAACGGAAAGAATATGCTTTAAATTCTTTCTTTTAAATAAAGATTTTATTTGAGACATGTTATTTTATTCTTTTCAAACAATTTAAGTATTAAAATGTTGCTTTAAAAAGCAGTAAAAAAATTGTCGCAAACGCGTTTGGGACGACTTTCTTATTGCTTCTTAAAACAATTTTTTAGTATAAAAATTTAATTTTTATACTAGAAAGCTAAATTTTTATACTAGAAAGCTGCTTTAAGAAGCAACAAGAAATTCGTCCCAAATGAAGCCTGAGTCAGGGCTATTTATAAGAGCCTTGAGCTCGATTCGATCAATAGCTCATGATGAATCTAATGAGCTAATAAGTTAAATTTTAATAAGTCTTAATTAGACTCATTAGTGCATGGACAAACAGATTTAAAAATATTAATATAAAATAAAGTACAAAATATTAAAATGTAATTATTATAGTATAAAAACAATATAAATCTTTTAAAGTTATATTTCTACTCTATATTTTAAGTGATTTTTTTTATTATTTTTATCATGTTATTATAATAACTATTTGAATAAAAATGATCTTTTCTCTTTTATAATAAAGTTAACCCAGTTGCTTTTGACCATATGAGCAGTTTTGCTATTGTATTTGCCTGTTGTGTGGACTAAAAGCTCTCTATCAGTGTTTTTTTTTTTTTCTTTTTCTTTATTAAAAAGGTCATCAGTTCTTCAAAGTAACTCCAATCTCAAAAGAAAAATGCCACTGAGCTCACAGATAAGAATTTTACAAATTTAGTCGACACCCAAATGAATTTACATACATGCATGCAATCTTATCATTTTCTTATCTTAGTAATGCAAGTGTCTGACCTTAATTTATATTTTCTTTTTTATTCATTTATTACTTAATCAACTTCATTAATACATTTTATACTTATTATGAATTGGCAAAGTATTGGGAGCCCACCAAATTCAATGGATTTGTTGATTTTATATATGTGTGGGTATGTGTATGTTGTCTTCATGTTTATTCGTGGGTGATGCCTGGCCTTATTGGCCGGCAAGCTCAAGAATTGAAACTCAAAAACTCAAAATCGGGGAGTGGTCCAGCGGATGTCCGACGTCGGGCGATGGTCATACGAAAGTCCGACGTCTGGCAGAACTCCGACGACGAGCGGTTGTTCAGCAAAACTCCGGCGATGGGCTGTAGTCCGGTGAAACTCCGGCATCAGGCTGTGGTCCGGCCAAACTCTAGCTTCTGTGGGTGGTCCGGCCAAACTCCTCAATTGGTGGAGGAGGCAAGAGCGATCTCCAATCTCTCTTTTTCCCTCTTGTTTCGGATCTCTTTTCAAGAGGAATAAGGGTTTTATTTATAGATTTTTTTGAGTAGCATGACCCATAAATAGGAGGAAGATCAAGGGTAAATGGAGAGTGGTTTGGATGGATGGTCGATGTTGAATCCCTTGATCGTGGACTGTTCGCTAGACATTTAAAGGTCTTAATGATGTCGGAATTCCATGATGGGCTTGTTGGATTCGTCTTGTCGAACCGCTCGATCGACTATAAATATGTCACGTTTGGAAATCTAAATTGTGGTTTGAACCTTCCAATGGCGCTTCGGGTCCTTGATTTAGACTCATTTGGGCTCAGATTGAGTCGAATTTGGTGTCGTTTGATTTGTATTCTTGAGACGTTTAGTTTGACTGTAAGTTCGTTGAAATCAAAGTTTGGATGATTCCAATTTTAATTTTGAAAGTTTCCAACTTGATTTTGCCTCGAGATTCATGCCCAATCATGAAAATTTTTTGATGATGTATAAAGTATTTTATTGGGATTGTTCATATAACAGAGATAGCTTCAACACTAAAGAAGGCTATTGATCTACTATTTGTAAAATATGGGTTGAGTGTTGCTCAATGCAAACAACATGCAAGATGAGTTTAATGAATTAAAACATTGATGATGAAAGAAAATTGTTCAGTTTATCATGTATATTATTTTGTACATCAAATCCAATTGGTATTAGTTACGGTGGCAAAAAGTCATGTTTAAGTTGCTTTATTTTTAAACAGAGTTACTAATTTGATAAATATTATTGGTAGTTCGTGCAGAAGAAGAGATAATCTAAGAGAAAAACAGTACAAAAAATATATTAAGCAACTTGAAAGTGGAGAAGTTATGAAAAGAGGTTAAAACCAGGGAATTGCTCTTTAAAGGCTAGGAGATACTCGTTGGGATTCAAAGCAACAGTTGAA